ATTCCGCTAGTAATTTTGTAACTTGGTTTTCTCCACTTTGGAAGCAGCTAGAACAAAAATTTTTTCACTGTTAAATAGGGCATTGTTTACACTATATATACCGCTATTCAAAACAGAAAATTTCGTATCTACAATTTTTTCAGAAAATGCCGCCTAAATGCCCACTGTGCGTAATCTACAAATAATAAATTTAATTGTATGACAATCAATCTGCAATATAATTGCGAATAAAAATATATCTGCTATAAAATAACAACCTAACTGTAGATACTTTTTTCATGTTGTTCGCTACCAATGGGTCATGGATGACCCATCGTATTGTTCAACAATGATACAACTTTGATTCCATTCAACCTTGAAATTGACATATTGTACTACTAATTGCTTTATTCTACTAGTTAGTTTGCCATCAGCGTTTATAGATCAATGGTGGTAGCTAGAGGGTTAAAATGAATTTATTATTCTTGCACTTTCTATCAGCAGCTGAGCCTTCCGCAACAAGTAAGAATCCTTTGCAAGAATACTTTCACAGAAAAAGCAGGACATGATGCATTTCGAACAAATAATGTATGTTCAATCGTTACGTTTTTTAAGTGTTGCATATCTTTAAAAATTGATAACATTACTATTATTGATTAATATCACTTATTCTATTGTTTTCGTTGTCACGACATCGGCATTGTACACCTTCCACTTAGAGAAAAATAATTTTGACGCACATTCTGTCCGTCTGCAGCTCAGCCGAGAATCAGAAAACTTGCAGTATATTAACTTAGTCCTGAATATGAATAATGTTGATGGTTACTAAGGTATATACTGTACTCTCACATATCTTTAGCAGATCCTGTTTAAGAATAATATGTCAGTACATATATTGTCAATATCAGGAATCGTTACTGCGCTTTTTTTTCTATATTTTTCGAGAATATAAACTATACCAAGCTGTGATAGATTAAAAATTTGTCAGAAAGGACAAAAATCACAGCTATATAAAAAAATGCCATGAATTAAGATTATTGGCGGAATTTATTCAAGACCACATCAAGGTATGTTCTTTTCTCCATCAACTGGATGGCAACATGCACAATAACACAAAAGAGAGGGTGTGTAAAATGTATTCAGTATGAGTTTTCGAAGGAGATGGTGATAACTTCTGTAGCTTCGTTTAACTATGCTATAACGATGATTTACACCACGAATAAGCTTAACTTGAGAATGTTAAAAACTCTCTCTTTTTAGAAGACAGTTTCATATTAACTATTATCTTTCAGTCGGAAATTATGGAGATGCATAAATCCTCGTTCATTTTATCATTATTACGAAAATAGTGAAGGACTGCTGCGATAATAAAAATCATATGTCTTAGATGCAGTGTTTCAAAGAGAATGACGAAATATTATAGAACCCTATATTGTTACATGCTGTAGTTTTGCTTTTGTTCTATTCTGACAAATATTTCTTTTCTTTTTCTTTTCTGTTGTACTTATGCAGAAATCACCATTCTTTCTATTTCGTACTTTTTTGAGACACAAAATTAATACGCGTGATAAGAAAGTTTTTTTTACATACTGTACGTCATCCTTTAGTATGTTTCTTGCTAACAGTGTATAACATATCCATGCGTTTGAGTTATGAATAGATTTATATGTTATCTAATTTATTTCATAAAATACTATTATACTCTCTCTCATGTGTATATGCTATTTGGCTTCGTTTATGGGACGACAGAAGGATAGAAACACTTTTGTTAAAAAGGCAAGACGCTCGAAATTTTTTGTACAATGCGTTCGGTTTATCTGTATACTACTGTTGATAATGTAATATTGATATGAAGAAATAGAGTATAATCATACAATAATCATATATTTTTTCTCGCTGTCTGAGTTATACTGTGACAGAACAACAAAGATCCTAATTCGACAATGGAAAATGTAATGAGTGAGTGACAGTTAATATGTGAATGATATTTTATCAGAATAACTAATCATTGAAAAAAACAGATGAGTGCATGTTATGATCCTTTCGTCAACGTCTTTCTAAGACGGGGTTTCAAAATCAATATCACGAGTGCAGTAGTAATATTTTTCAACTTTACTAAGATATTTTAGTTATTTCAAATTTTTATGGACGTTTCGAACTACACACAATTCATATTTTCAAATTTCATAATTTACATATACTATGGTTATATTTGTTCTTGACAATAAACTTTACCCATATCATCAAGATCGTCCAATATACCGTGATGTATAACGCCATGTAAGTCGAAAGTACTGCCTAATTTAACGAACCGCACGGTGTACCGGTGTTTTGTTTTGTTATTATCAAGCGCTTAAGCACATGAAGACTCCCGGTATTGGAAGAAAATTTGACTCAAGTCGAAGTTCAAACTTAAGAACCTGTAATCTGAAAAAAATCAAGTACTTTGAAATTTTTTGTGTTTCTTGTATACCGTCAAGTATGCAGACACGGTTACCGCATTGTATTTTGTAGGTCGCGGTAGTTCCAAACATCGCATGATAATCGCCCAGAGTTGTAACTAGTCTAAAAATAAGAGATCACTCCGAAAATTAGTTTAAACTGGTGAAACACCGGCAAAAGAACGATCAGTTTTCGAAAAAGTTTTAGACCGATGAAAAACCGGCAGAAAACCGACTGATTCTCAAATGTTTTCTAGACGGACAAGAGGGTAGAAAAACTCATCTTTTTTTTAGTAAAGAAGAGAAAAATGCGAGGAATTTCAAAACTGGTCAATCACCGGCCGGTTTGAAAAGCTTTGTAGACTAGTGGAGACCGGCCGGTCTAAACTTTTACACCGGATCGGGCCGGCCAGGTTACAACTCTGTAACTGAGTTACCGGCGGTATTTGAAAAAGGGATCAACATTGGTGTATAGTTCGAAACATCAATAATAATTTAGACTAAAACATGATATTTTAGTAAAGTTGAAAGAGACTGCTATTATTGTATTATTTATTTTGAAACTATTGCCTGTTAATCATCTTAATATTAGACAGGATTTAGTTCATCTTTCTTTTGCAGAATAAAAGGTTCGCAAATGGAATATTAAAAAACTCAAATAACTGTACCACAATTGTAGAATATAAAGTAGAAGAACTGAAATCGATTTTATATATAAAAGTTTATTTTGGCTCCATTAAGCCAATTTTTTGCAAGTCTTCATATTGACTACAAATATCGTACTGTGGTTATAAGGAAAAGTTTGCTTAAAAATGGAAAACTAGTAAAGAACAAAACATCAGGTTAGATCGTCTCCTTCCTCAGTGCGCTCATTGTCAATAGAAGAAAATGTATCAATTTGGCTAATTATTATTGTCCAAATTGATGTATTTTACAATAATTTAACTGACGTATTGGACAGTACTCTCTAAAAAAATCGTACAGAACCAAAAAAAAGGTATTTCCATGTCGGAATAAAAGAAATCTTACAAAACTAAAAAGGATACACTGAGATACCAAAATGGCATTGTAAAACATAATTAAGGGTATTTCTAATCTCACAGAACCAAAAGAAAGAGAGTATCTGCATTTGTTACTCAGAGATTTCAAAACGGGTATTCCGACATGGGATTACCCTTTTTTGGTTCTGTACGAGATGAAAATTTTTAGACAGTAGTGACTGATTCAGTGTGTGTTCTGCTGCCGTACTTACCGTGGAAAGAAAAGAATTAGTTTTCTTTTGCAGATTAACATTTTTTTTCACCTGACTGATAGTGTTATTGAACGTTGAGCTATAATTTAGATGAAAGTTGAAAACTCTTTAGTCTAATGATTCTAACTTTTCAGTTTTTATCTTTAGATTAAATTATGAATACTAGATTGTTGTCAGTATTATTCGTGCTATGTTTACAATCTTATACGGTACCATTTTCATGAAACATTTTTGGATATTTTAACACTGAATGTTCACTGAAAGTCATTGGCAAATTTCGAAAGAGTCTCATATATTTGATCTTCGGATCTATGCTAGGAAACTTTTTATTATTTGGCTATTTTAGGACGCTTTTCTTCCATCGAATCCGTTTTCGTCCTCATCCAGACTTTTATCTACAAAATCAATTTCATCCGTACGAACCGATGTTACTCTAAATAGTACTTGGACATATGCAAATGGTATAACTGCTGTAACAATGATTATAAAAAATTTAAAAACTCAACAATGGATATCTATGGGCCTATCATTAAATAGAAAAATGGTAGCAATCAGAATTTATAAACACAGATTTGAACTGATTAGACATGCCTCGAATCTGTTCGCCCACTTTATAGCATTAGTTTTTATTTCTAACGGTATTTGCTCTAATTTTATTCAAACGTGTAGAGATGTTCATTTAAGTCTACTCTACAAATGGAGATACACCGTAATATGTGCCTGCATAACAGACGACAAGATTAAGGCAAATTACAATCCCAAATTCACTGAATACCTCGGATTTGGATTCGAGATTTTATTTGTCAGTTGTTATAGAATCATAAACTACATAGAATCTCTGTTTACAGAGCAGACTTAAACAAACTTCTCTACACATTTAAATAAAATTAGAGCAAATAGCCATCGAAATAAAAAATAATGTTAAAAAGTGAGCAGACAGATTCGAAGCATGCCTAAGAACTAACTCGTACGTATTTTGCATTAGGGCGAAACACATGTGTTTGCAGTTCAATATTTATCCAATAATACTATTGATCTCAAACGAATGATTAATCCGAAGGGTCATAAACGACCGATCGATTCTCCACCGGACTCTGGGGGTTTATTTACAATTAAAAGAAAAAAATTAGAAAATAATCGTATTTTATGTGAATTTACACTATCAAATTTTACTACAACAAATCCACAGGCAATAAGCGCAATCCCACCACTAACACAAGAAACGCCATATCATCCACTTATTGCTACAGGAAGTCTAGATGGCACAAGTAAGTACTAGATTATATTTGTTGGAATCATAAGTTTATTGACTACCGTTATTGAGCAGGACAATAAAAGGACTCAAATGTAAAGAACTGCCATACGCATGAGTAACTTGAGAATCCTACAGGGTGTCCCAAAAGTCCCGGAAAAAGTAAAATATCAATATCTTTTCTACTACTCATTCATTTTTCATGAACTTTTCGCCGTTTGATAGGACATTATCTGACGTTTTATTTCATATCAATTCGCTTATAGCAGATGCTCAAAGTGATCCCCATCAACTGACACACATAAATCCATCCTTTTGGAGATATTCGAAAAAACATCTGATAAAGTTTTTTTTAAAATTGCTTTGATTTCTTGATGGATTGCTCTTTTCAATTGAGCCACGTTGCCGATCTTCCACTGTTCCAGTTTCATTAAAACGTTCGAAAGTATCTTTGATACAGTGCAAACTTGGGGTTTGTTTGCCGAATTCAATTTGCGTTGGACAACTATAAGTGACTCGAATTTGGCCATCAATAAAACAATCTTTATTCTGATTTCTAAAGGAACTAACATCCTATCTGAAATATCAGAAATAAAACTTAAAATAATATCCTGTCAAACGGTGAAAAGTTCATGAAAAATGATTGAGTAGTAAAAAAGATATTGACATTTTACTTTTTCCGGGACTTTTGGGCACCCTGTACCTAAACTGAGCTGTTTTTAAGAATTCACGCCAAAAGAGTTTGATACAATCTTAAACCAAACCGAAAACTTTGACACGTACAAATTACAAATAATGGTCTGGACGTATCAAGAAGATGAATATTCTTCACGAATAAATCAAATCTCTAAAAACTCATCTCCAGCAGCCAGATGAAATAAATTCTGGTATAATAAGATTGTAGCGCACGCCTGGCGATATATGCCAAGTAATTTTCGATCTAAAGATCAAGTTTTCGCTGAATTGCAAAACTTTTACTATAGACTTTCATACACTTTCGAACCATCTCAACACTTCGAACAGCTGATCTTCAAATCGTAAGTTTCATGCCGTATAACTTAGCATAACATTTGGCATAACAGAGTTGGTTCATTCGATGGCACAAAAGAGGACTACACAGGCCAGGTTCTCAGAGAACGCAGTTGGTGGGAAATCTAAGGGTTAAAACAAATATCATGTTCGAGATCGGCATCAAAAGCTACATAACTATTTATCACAAAAAAGCGATCTATCTCTTCAGGAAGTTTCTCATGAAAGATTGGCTTGATAATCAAAATTTTTGTTTTGAGAAACTCCACTTTGAGAAACTTGACCGTGGGTGAACTTTTTCGGGTGCCTTAGTTTTCGTCTTAAGTCATTCCGAACTTCGAACATGTATCCGGCTGTTCGGAAATAAGTTTTTGTCCTTAAAAGTTTTATGACGGTAGTTCGTAAACATTTTTGTACGGGAGATCGTAATGGCTTGACCGGATGCTCGGAATAGCATGCTCCTTGCTATATCTGATCTAGCTCCTGGAGATCGGAATGAACAAGGTCAGGTGTTCGGTATGTAAGTCATAGGGTACTTTTTACAGAAAAAGACTAGAAGAATGGAAAGACATTGACTGGGAGTTCGTAAAATCATCATCTTAGGCTGCAAGACTAGTGTATCACTTCACATTCTCTCAAAAGTGAGCCAACTGAACATAATTCCGAACACCCTGTATTTTTCATTCCGATCTCCAGTCAAAATTTCGCTGTTCAACTTTTAAAAAGCGATTGTCAAAGTTCGTTACAAACTCCCGAACAAATTCCACTCCGAACACCCTGTTTTTTGTTATATTTTATTGATTTTTGTTAATACGAACTCCATTCCGAACTCACTGTCTTTTTTCCTTATGCCCGGAGATAGTAACAGACTACTTCTCCGGAGTTCGCAATGAAAAATTAAGACCAAAACTAAGTTTCCCACTTTTTCAAGTAGAAGTAGAACCTTCTACTGTTGAACTTTTTTCTAAGGACTGCACTCCTTGTTAAACGTAGTAGAATTCAGTACGTCCGATTCTCCTTATTTTTCATTATTCTTGAACTCGTCCAGAACAACCATTTTTATTATTGATTTTAAAAAGAAAATTATTATTTAATCAGTCAACTTTTTCTGTTAGAAATGGAAAAGCATAAAAATGCAGAAGCTCAATCAAGACTTGTTCAATTAAATCATTTCGAACAAATTATTTATAATTTAAATGTGATTGATGGTGATATGAGTCGATTCGATACAATAGAAACGAATTGTTGTATAATGGTATTTACGTGGATTGTAATTGTATCAACTATTATATTAATTGTACGTTATTTAAAAAATGCGTTTATATATAGTAAATTACCCAATGAAGCCGTCTAATTTACTTTACATAGTGGATTTATGTAATATGGAATATTAATCGGTTTATGACTTTTATTTATGATGGCTATCGGCTTCTATCTGGTTTTACAATGGGAAATAGCTGATCAAAATCCTGACAGAGATCGAAAAATACTCTTTCAGTAGCATCTCTCTTAACGAAAGCTATGAACTTATATTCTTAGCAGTCTAATGTCTTGCATATTTGAAAATACGTCAGTTAACTTTTCCACTATCGTAGGTTCTTCCTAATAGCAATGTAAGATATATTAAATAAATGTCACGTGACAAGATTTTGTAGAAGAATTAGTTGTAAGGTGCCGTAAATGAAAAATCGAGCAAATTTTCTTCGAACATATACACGGTTGTATAGCCTGGAAGCTGCAGATCAAGAATATGCGAGTTATGAGCTTTCAAAAT